TTTTAGGGTGCACATCATAAATTCGCTATTTATAACTTTACTACAAAATGTTATAATACACATCACAAACAATCATAATGTTCATCATAAAAAATCATAACTTTTTTACAACGTGCACCATTTGAAAGGGTGCACAAAACATTGTAAATTTCTCTGTGGAATATATTTACTATTCCAAATTCCAACTAATTTAATACAATTCTCTAGTTTACAAAATAGTTAAATAAAATTAATAAATTTTCTACCAAACCAATATGATTGTTGTTTTGTGAAATCGTGTTATAAAGAATATACAATTATAATTAGAAAATATAATTAAGCTTTTTAATATATATATTTCCATCTCCCTTTCTTCTATTCTTTCCTTTTGGCTTCAATAAATAACAGATTGGCAACAAACAATTAACAAATGATTTCTAGGGAGTTGTTTGACATTGTTGCAAGTCTCTTGTTTCTTGTTTTCATAAAACAGAGCAAGTTTTTTGTTTTTTTATTTTTATTTTTTATTTTTGGGGCAAAAAACTTGTTTGGTGAGTTGCCACAACTAATTATTGAATGATTAATTAGGGAAATTCTAATATACACCCCTTTAAAAAAGGTGTACCATATGCATCCCTATTTATGTTATTTTCTTCTTTAGCTATAACATTGATATTATTTTAGTGATGATTCATGAGTTTTTTTAGTTATGTCTAATGTTATGTTTAGTTATAACATTTTTTTTTAATTATGACTTAGAAAATTAAAATTATGCCATTTTTCTTTTTAATTATAAAATGCATATGGTGCACACTCTTTGAAGTAATGTACTGTAGTGTTTTCCAATTAATTAATACATTGTTACCTGATATGATAAGTTTACTTCTGCATTATGTTCAGCAATGACAAACAAATGTTTTAGTTCAGTAGCTTTGTGAGTACATCCAATATGTATAGAAAAAAAAAAATCATTGATAACTGTTAGGAATTAATCCTTCTTAACTAAGATCGGTGAGACACGAAACAACAAACAAAAAAGAAAAAAAAACAAATCAAACACATAAGAACGCAAGGATTTACGTGGTTCACCCCAGAATAGGGTTACGTCTACGACTGCTGCGGTTTTCACTATGATTAGAAAAATACAACTCTCTTGACCTAAAAGAGGCCTCCCTCATCTATTTATAAGTATAAAATTAGAGTTACACGGAAGCAACATGAGAATTACGAAAGTACCTAAAAAAATTTCGGCCAGGAGGTAAACCCCCCTAACCCCCCTCCCCTTGGGGGAGGCCCCTTGATCAGGGGATGGCTGAAGCCAGACAAGCTGAGTGACCGGCGCCCGGAAAGGCGTGGTCAACCGAGGAGACTGTTTGACCGGCAGGAA